CACCCCCCCCTGCCGCTGCCTCACGGTCCACTCTGCTCCAGCCTGCGCTCCGCGGCCCATGTCGCTCTCCCCCTCTCCCTCTGTGCCCATATCCGCCGCCGTCGCTTCCCTCGTCCATCTCCCATGGACCATCTTGCGGACTCCCACCACCACGACTCCAGCCAGATCCCTGTCTCCAACATCTCTCTGAACGACATCTCCCTCTCTATTTCGGCCGCGGCAGCACCGTATCCTGTCTTGCCTCCCATTCCCCGTCTCTCCCTTCCAGCTCGGCCCACCGGCCATCGTCCTCCAAGAAGACCGTCCACCGCGTCGTCCATCGAGGAACGCAGCATATTGTTGCCGTGTTCTGTCTCTCCTTCCCCCAGCGATCCCCTGTCGTGCACAGCGGTCACTCCAGCCACCCATTCAGTCACTTCCAGCATCGACGGAGACCCCGCAGACCCTCGCAAGTTTGACTTTGTCGAAGATGCCCCCATCTGCGAGATTAACCGCCGCGCCCATGCTGCAGTGGAGGGCATCCGCGCAGAGGCGTCCCGGCTCTCGACCACAGGCGAGTGCAAGTCACTCACCCCGCGATCTCCATCCTGACCCTTTCCCGTTTCACACCCTCCTGCGCCCGTACAGTCGAGATGCTCCCGTCCCCATTCGACCCTTTGCCGGCAGAGGACCAGGCGTCTACGCAGTCTTCCAACGACAAGTTCCGCGACGACACAGACTACGACTGGGCCACCTTTGTTAGTGCGTATGCCCTGGGCCGCTGGGACCCCCTCCGCACACCCCATCCGCCACGATCACACTTGCAAGCACCCTCACATCCGCGCGCATCGCTCTCAGACGCGCGTCCCTCGATCCTCGTCGATACCTCTGACTTGTTTGTCCAGTCTCCTGTCCCCACCTCTGCGCCTCCGCTGGAAGTCCTTGTATCGGATCCAGCCTATACCGAGGTAGCCGACCAGACTGGTCCTGAATATGAGCTCACTGAGCAGACCTTGTTGGAGTACGCCAAATCGGCTG